TGTAGAAGTCACCTGTGCCTTGTACGACAATTGAAGAACGAAAGGTTTGTTCGTCGGTTACCTCTTAGATTTGACAAGTTGAACATATTCACTCGGATTTAAGTCAACGTCTATGTCTATTTGCAAAAAGCTGCAGCATTTATGTCCTTTTTTTCTTCGAGATAGTGCCTTGACATGTTTTTCATTAAGCAGGAGTAGAAAGTTTTGTTACAAAACTGTCAAGTTACAGTAGTCCAAAGATTACCAAAACCCACAGCCCACACCTCTCACACATCTCGCACGTGGTTGTGATTACACAAGATACAATTTTGCAACTAAGACAAGGATGCATCTCAAACCTCATCCCGACCATATCCAAGTTCTGGCCAACGGGTCAAAATCCCCACCGAAAATAAGCCGCAGCGCCTCCTACTTGGAGGCCGATAACGGTGTCTGGAAGGCAGATTTGTACTTGCGCACACTCTCAGAGTCGACGTTGGGCGAGCTTGCTACGACTCCCAGCTTCTGCATGAGCAAGCACTGAGCCCGCTTGGTGGAGTCCGCCTCGCGTGGCTTCGCCGCAAGGCGTTCACTGCGCCGCAGTGACCGAACGGAGACCGGCGTCCTAGGCCTATGCAACCTAGGCGGCCCGCGGATGAGGGGCGTCTGCAACAGAAGGCAAAGCCGCGCCTCCAGTGTTTCGTAAAGCGTAGGGGGTACAGGCCCCGGCGGCGTTGGCCTACCCGCGTCGTCATCGCTCGAGGAGTCCCTCGGCGTGCCCATCATCTCCATTTCCTGATGTGAAGTCAAGACTGGCTGGACATCGCTAGGATCATCGACCACGATGGTGGCCATGTCCCCATGGCCTGTTTCTAAAGCGGAGAGACGGTTTGGTGGCGGAACTTGGATTGCCTCTTCAACCAACATTAGGTCCAGTGTCGAGTCGACTGCGGGTGGCAGTTGCCTCGACCGGCTCCACATCACTAGGTCCACCTTAGCCTCAAGACCACCTCCTTCACACGACGAGATAGGGCGGCCGTCCAGCCGATGCTCGCGTGCGAAGCTGCCCCCAAGCCGGGCACAAACGCTGGCCGCGCCCTCCGACACCCCGTACATCGAGGCAAGATGCGCCTGGAACTCCTCTGGCGAGACAGCTGGCTGGCGCGACAAGAACAAGAGAAAAATCCGCTTCAGGTGCGGCGAGCTCCGCGTTCTTCGGGACAACGAAGACCTCGATCTTGGGACGCCTATCAGCGTCACCCATAGGTGGTGATAGCGGCAGGCTGCTGCTGTGGTGCTGCTGCGGCGACAACGATGGCGTGGTCGACTGTTGCACACGACGAGGCGACGACAGCGTCAGCGCCTGGCCTGGCACATCGCAACCTCCTGGCGACAGCCTTGGACCAGCAGTGCGACGCGCCTTGGCACCCCGGCCGAGGCGAAGCGCCTTCGAGGACGAAGGCTTGCACGCCGGCGAATGACCAAGCTTACACGCCCTGGCCCAATGGCCGCTACCCCAGCAGCAGAAGCAGCGGGACGGGGAACGACACTGAGCGGCGATGCGTGGTCGTGCGCGAGGTAGTTGAAGCAGAGACCCGCAAGCTCTAGCGGGATGGGGCAATGCCATTTGGGTGCTGATGTCCCTAAGCAGTGCCGGTGACGACGTTTCATGACAGTCTGGAAACCATCGGCATCGATGTTGGGCCCCCGATGGGGCTGCCGGGACATGTTAGGCACTGACGACCCACGCTGCGGGCCGAGGCGCTGGTGAACTAGGACTCTCGTCGCCGGCTGCGAACCAAGGCGACGCGTCACGTGCACTCGCGCGGCGTTCAGCAGTGGAGTCCCATGGTCATCAGGCACACTGGTCCTGCATTAACGGTACCACTTCCCCCTTGCAGTCACTAGATGGGTTCCCTCCGCAGTGGCAGCACTCTGCGCCGCGTCCGGAGCCCCAACCGACGGTAGAGGTGTGGCCCGGAGAGCCTTGCGAGCGGCATCCAGGTACGATGAGCGCGTGGCTTCGTCGTCGGAGCTGCTCGCACAGGGGTCTTCCTCCCAATGCCATTTGGGTGCTGATGTCCCTAAGCAGTGCCGGTGACGACGTTTCATGACAGTCTGGAAACCATCGGCATCGATGTTGGGCCCCCGATGGGGATGTTGGGCCCCCGATGGGCTGCCGGGACATGTTAGGCACTGACGACCCACGCTGCGGGCTGAGGCGCTGGTGAACTAGGACTCTCGCCGCCGGCTGCGAACCAAGGCGACGCGTCACATGCACTCGCGCGGCGTTCAGCAGTGGACTCCTGCCAGCTGACCGATGGGCGAGGAAGAAGGGGAGGCAAGCGCGGAGAGGGAGGACGGCGAGGACCTACTTGAGCGCGTGGCATCCTCCTCCTCGTCCTTGTCTTTCGGGACGTCCTCAACGATGACTAGTGTCTCATCCTCAATCCTTCCATCTATGCGACGGATCTAGGCCCGGTGGGGGCAGCGACGCTGGGGATGGCCGCCATAGCCGGGGCTTCGAAGGAGGCCGACGGCGCCGGAGTGGCTGCCGGTGGTCCGGTAGGGGCAGCGACGCCGGGGATGACCGTCGGAGCCAGGGTGTCAAAGGTGGCCGGCGGCGCCGGAGTGGCTGCCGGCGGGCTAAGGTGGATGGGGCAGAAGTCGACCCAGTGGACACGCCAAGGAGCGTCGTGGTGGCAGTCCCATCCTCATGGATCGATAGATCCGGACGCGGGGAGCTTGGATCTGGGCTTGGAAGGGGCTGGTGTGCAGCAGGGAGGTAGATGGATGGAGGTGCGCCGCCGGCATCGTTGGGGGCTGGGGGCAGGTCAGGAGGGTGGGTGAGGTCCATCCCGTTCCCGACCAGGATGCATTTATGTCCTTGTTTCACTGTAATTTCAATAGTTTTTTCTTCTGTTGCAACGCATGGCGTATTTGCTAGTAATAATAATAAAGAGGCAAAATTTTAGCCCACTTTTTTTGTCCATCCATTTTTTTGGTCCGTCTCCCTCTAACTACCGGACAATGGAGATTTTCTTCCGTACAGACTTATACATAACCCGTGCTCATACAAGTTAGACCGATTCTAAAACGTATTGGGTCGTGCATGTGACCCGGACTCTTGATAACTTGGATAGCTAGAATTCTACTCCTAAATTGAATAGGAATAGAAATCATGATCAAATAGAAAAGGACAAACAAAAATACAAATTAGATAAATCTTACCCTGAATATTAAACTACGACTCCTTCCTTTGGTTTTGTGGACGGTTTGTCGTGGGTTGATTTTGCGGACGTATACAATTATCTTATGCTATCTCTCTTGGATTGTACAATTTGTTTCCTATTCAAATACACAATTACTTCATTACCTCATGCAATCTCCTGGATTGTACAATTTCTTTTCTATTCCAATACGCCGTCTTCGAATACTTATATATACTTCAACTATTGAATCAACAAAATTATCGTGTCATATACTTTTCCATTATTTTTTCTGCGCCACTTTTTTGGATGGATTTGTTTTCCCTCACGTAATGTTTCTGTTTTCCTTACCTAATATTTTCCCCATTTAATTTTTTATTAGCCCATTTTTTGGTCCATCCATTTTTTTGATCCGTCTCCCTCTAACTACCGGTCAATGGAGATTTTCTTCCGTCCAGACTTATATATAACCCGTGCTCATACGAGTTAGACCGATTCTAAAACGTATTGATAACTTGGGTAGCTAGAATTCTATTCCTAAACTGAATAGGAATAGAAATCATGATCAAATAGAAAAGGACAAACAAAAATACAAATTATAAATCTTACCTTGGATATTAAACTACCACTCCTCCCTTTGGTTTTGTGGGCGGTTTGTTGTGGGTTGATTTTGCGGAGGGATACCATTATCTTATGCTATCTCTCTTGGATTGTACAATTACTTTCCTATTCAAATACACAATTATCTCATTACCTCATGCTATCTCCTGGATTGTATAATTCCTTTTCTATTCCAATACGCCGTCTTCGAATACTTATATATACTTCAACTATTGAGTCAACAAAATTATTGTGTCATATACTTTTCCATTATTTTTTCCACGCCACTTTTTTTTGGATGGATTTGTTTTCCCTCACGTAATGTTTCTCTGTTTTCCTTACCTAATATTTTTCCCTTTTAATTTTCCACATATTATTTATATGATTTTTTGTTCTTTTTTCCTCCACTGTACATGATGGTTTCCAATTCTGTATGGGACATGATTTTTTTCTGTTTTTTCTCAAGGTGGTTTCCGATATTTGTTTGGTAGTTTTCTTTCTTTTGGTGATTTTTATTTGTTTCTCATATGGAGATCAGTGTTTTTGTTTAGTTTTGTAAATATATTTTTTCATGAAACAGGTAAACTAGAAGGAATGAGATAAATCTTAGACGTACTTACGTACACCTACATGATTTCTGATTTGTTTGGCAAATTTTTTCTTCTGTTTTAAGTACATGATGGTTTCATATTTGTTTCGTGTACGAAGGATCAACACTTTTGGTAACCCTTTTCCCCTGTGAAAAAGGTAAGCCGGAGGTAATGAGAAAATTTTGGTTTATAATTGTTTTAAAATAGTAAACTGGAAATAATGATCTTTTTTTAGTCGTAACTTTTCTCATTTTTAGTTTAGAAATGTAAAACATTCCTTAGCACAGCACCTATTCATATCATGCCCTAGCTGTCCGAACCTGTTCATGATGCTTGTGTAGACGTGTAGCTCACCTTCAACCTTTTCAAACTCATAAAAAATACCCATAATAGTTACCAATTTTTTGAGTTAGTCACTTGTCAATTTTTCATACGGGATTATATTTATTTGATTCGAGGTTGGATGAAACTCATTTAAATTTTACAAAAAAATTGTACAATCACCGAGTAATAAATTATACGTCCCGTTGCAACACACGGACATGTTTTGCTAGTTTTATCTAACGTGCGAATACGGATATCCAAATGCGTATCATCGTGACGGCATCGTCGATGTTGTTGCTCAGCTGGAGTAGGCCACGTAGATCTTCATCTCCGAAATGTCGAAGCCGTTGAACTTGGAGCCGGCACCTGTGGAGTAGGCGCCCATGTTGTCAAAGACGAGCCAGTCGCCAACGCACATCTCCGGCAGCTGGTACCCGGTGACCACCAGGTCCCGCGAGTCGCACGTCGGCCCGAACACCGTCGACGCGTACGTCTTCTCGCCGGGGCACGCGCCGGCGAGCGGTCTCGGGCGCGGGACCTTGTGGTCCATGAGCACGTTGTTGAGGGAGCCGTAGAGCCCGTCGTCGATCCAGCACTCGCGCGCCTCACCGCGCACGCGCTTCCCGATGACGCGCGCGGCCAGCGTGAACGCTGTCTCGGCGAAGTACCGCCCCGGCTCGGCGATCACCTCCACGCACGGCAGCAGGTCGCCGAAGACGTCCGCCAGCGCGTCGTTGATGACCGCCGCGGCCTCGTCGAAGGCGGCGCCGGCCCTGAACCCGCCGCCGATGTCGAGGACGCGCATGGGCGGCATGCCGAGGGCGACGGCCGCGTCGAACGCGGCGCGTGCGGAGTTGGTGGCGCCGCGATACACGTCGACGCGGGACACGGGGCTCCCGACGTGGAAGGAGACGCCGGCGACGGCGACCCCGGCCCGCTGCGCGGCGCGGAGGAGCGGGGACACCTCGTGCGCGTGCGCGCCGTACTTGTTCATCAGGTCGCCGCCCGTGGTCCCGCCATCGGGGCCCTTGAGGCGGAGCAGGAGCTCGCACCTCGGGTGGCAGCGCGCGACCTTGGCCACCTCGGACTCGGTGTCGTAGGTGGCGAGCGCGACGCCGGCCTCCGCGGCGTACTCGAGGTGGGGCTCGGCCTTGCAGGGGTTGGCGTAGACGTTGCTGCGGTTGGCGCCGGGCGGGATGCCGCCGACGCCGACGCCGAGCGCGAGCACGGCCTCCATCTCGGCGCGGCTTGCGCAGTCGAACCCGGCGCCCAGCGCGGCCAGCGCGCCCAGGATCGAGCGCCGGGTCAGGGTTGCACTTGACGGCGTAGTAGGGGCGCACGTCGGGGAGCGTGCGGCGCCACGCCGAGAAGAGGTCGACGACGGTGTTGATGTGGAAGACGTGGAAGGCGGTCCGCTGGGCGGGGCTCGACGTGGCGATGATGGAGCGGATGAGGCCGGCGACGGTGTCCTTCTCGTCGGTCGCCGCGTCGAGGGTGAAGGAGACCACTTTCCCGTCATTGACGCCGGGAGCCGACAGCACGGTCTGCATGGGACTGCCTCCACCCATGCTGCTGCTGATCGACAACGCTAACGACGACGATGAATAACCGAAGGCGATCAAGCAAAGCAAGGAGGTAATAATGATGAATCGAAGGTGGCTAATCTTTTGTTTGCTCGACACGCAGCTAGCATGAGCGTCTGTGGCTGCCCTTTTATATCGCGACGACGAGGGGTGGTGTCCTAGGAGGGACACGACGCGTCGTTAACGTTGTTCCATGCATGCCTCCACTGTCCACGGAGGAATGGGTTATTAGGTTACATATAGGCACGTGACAAAAATCTATGCTAACATTTATCTTGACGAGGACTCGCCTCTGACCGGACTCTTGCTTCTTAATGAGTCATTAACTAATTAATGGTCATTTCTCATTTAGTCAGGTTGCAAAGCAGGAACAGGGCAAACAAAGCTACCCGCAGTTGGTCGCCGGGCTTGGCATTAGCCGTTGGAGCACATTAGCACATGCAATCGTGCTGCACACACTAAAACAATAGTTAGTACACACTACCGGAATCCTAAATTACTTTGAGTGCCAAAAACCGTCAACAAAATTGCAAAACCGCTAAGGAAATAATCCTTGGCTACTAACCATCAAGCAAATTCCGTCAAGGATAGAGGATAAGGGAAATTAATTTCCTTAGTACTTTTGGCACTCAAGGATAATTTCCTTGAAGCCTAGCTGTCAAGGAAACTACGGCCACACCTAATTTGCCAAAGCACTAAGTAAATGTTCGAACCGTCAAGTAAATAAGTTCCCTTGAGGGCCAACAATCTTCAAAAAAGTTATCTAGATCCTTAAGGAATATACATTTCCTTGGAGGTCGATGAGCACCGCCAAGAAAACTACACTTTTCTTGGCGGTTCTATTTTGGCACTAAAGAAAATTCTTAACATTCAAGGTAATTCAAGATTGTGGTAAAACAACTTTCTTTCTTCCTTTCATATTTCACTACAAAAATTCTGTTGATCCATGACATATTGCTTTCGTCACAATAGCCCCGAAATCCATCATAGAACGCCATCCGTGACGGAAATTTTTTCTATCATGTATCGAGTTTCACAGATTGGCTGCGAGTCATCTGTGATGAATTTCAACCGTCACGGATCCCCTGAAAGTCCACTTAGCCCACTCTAGGCCAGGCTTCCACGCAGGATTTTTTTCTATCACAAATTTGAGTCGCCATGCAAGCGCCATGTGTTCGCCAAGGTGTTCGCTGACATATCATCGGTGCCACTTAGAATTTAGCCCAGGTGTTTTATGGCCCAATTTGGGTTTCCATGAGCTTTCGGCCCTTTTTACGCCCAACATATTATTTTGTTTTGGGCCGATCTGATTTTTTGCGGGCCCTTTTTCGGCCTTTTAGTGGACATGCTGTCCAGCAAAATAAAAATATTTTCACCCTTAATTTCAGCAAAATTAATTACCAATCATCGTTAATTAACACATGTTCTGATCATCAGTAACAAAAATAGGACTTGATTTACACATAAATATTTGGGAACACGTTACAATCTTCACATCTCATACAACATAACTAAAACCTATCCAAAAGGATATGACAGTACCCAGCAGCCACCAAGGCACTTTGGCCACTCCAGCATCAAAGTTTCTTACACAACAAAAGGGTCTCCCTGCAACCTTCTTATGTCTGCATGCTCATCCCGTCTAGCCAGATGGCAGATGGCTGCTCCTTCTGAGCAAGCTGCACGAGGCAAGCACAAAAAAGACAGGCAATATTAATTAGTCTATATGCTAGGATGGTTTGAGAAACCACATAATAATATTGTGGAGGCAGGCAATATCAATATAGCATGAACATTCACAAAAGTTATACTGCAGCGATAGCAAAACCTGTTGCCTCAGGTCAACACGTTATGTCATCACGAGGCACATAACATAAGCATGTGCACATGTGAAAAAATGCTAAACTATGCATTGTGCTTTTATGATAAGCCAAGTGTTTTCACGTGAGAACATAATATTTTACATGTGTAAAGCATTTGTCAGGTTGAAACAAGTGCAGATTGACATATTCAAACATTTATCAGGTTCAGGCAGTAAGAAGACACAGGTCACGGGCACAATAGGAAATCAGGTGAATTAGATGACAAGCTCAAGGAGGCAAGTTAATTTATAATTTAACTATCTAATGTAGCAGCAAGTTAATTGTGGCACCGGCTGCTATCTACTCTGACAATAGATATAACTGTGATGCCAACCTGTGCAAGAGCTCATGCGTGTGCCAATATTAGCAAATGTGATGCCGACCTGTGCAAGAAGCAAGCAGCTGCATGGCAGCACTAGACGCTAACAGCAACTAGTAGTCCACGTCAAAGCATATGGGATAAATATTAACATAGTGGGCAGGCCTAATGTAGTGGTGAGAGCTGTCTCACTGAGTCACCAGGCTGTGGGTTCGAAGCAGCATCTCCGTAGATTTTACGGGAGAAAGGCTTGCCTCGGTTTTTCCCTTCCCCAGACCCCACCCATGTGGGAGCCTCCGGCACTGGGTCTGCCCAATCAAAGGTCACATAAATAGGTTACTACAAACTAACAATCTGGTAGTAAGTTATCAAAAAAACAATCTGGTAGTTTCTCCACAAATCCAATCACAATATGTTGATTGATTCAGAATTAAATCTAGGTCAAATATGTGTAGAGCATTGTTGTCAGGTTCAAACATGTGCACAGGTTCAATCGTTAAAGATCCAATACACTTAGTTGGATACAATAAGTTATTTTTCTCCCAAACAGCACATATTTATGGGTTTTGCTGGACTGATGCAGTTTGAATAAAAGATCTAAGCATTCCTTGTCCTTGTCCTTGATTCAGTTTAGACTAATAAAATTGTTAGAAGCTATGCAGCACGAATACGGATACTCGTATCGGTATCGGAAGGATACGGATACGCGGATACGACAATTTCCTAAAAAACCCGATACGCGGATACGTTTTACTATTTTTTAAATAAAAATAGATAATAGCGCATATTAAAATTGTGAAAGACTGAAAATAGTAAATTACCTTGCAATAGCAATTGCCAGCCAAAGCAAAGACCGGAACTCCAGAAGCATCTCCATTCTTCAATTGTCCATTCTCGAGTTCTCCAAGACTCCAAGTCCAGAATTTGCACAGAAAAACCAACTATCAATCAATTTATTACTAAAACTTGAGTATTCAGTACTCAGTAGTAGTTCAGTACATCACCTTCTACTACTAGTGTACTGGAGTCTGAACTCTGAAGTAGACGGGAGAGGAGAGGACAAAGGAGTACTGTTATTTAAAACTGATAACAATAAAACATTGCAATTAACCACTTAAGTGTATTATTATTACAACACAATAAGTTCCTATTCCTCATTTGTTTCATTGTCATCCACAACATGAACATGCGGATCATCCAAACCAAAAGACACAGCTTGCAATTCAGGTTCATCAAGGGACAGGTCAACCACTTCAAGAATGCCAATATCACCAAGTGAATCAAAAGAATCCCCTCCTACATCCCACATCCTTGTCTCTCCTGTCTTTGTATGCATCAGTTCTTCTGGACAGATGCCTCAGATTTGAGTGCACAAAGACCAAATCTTCAGCACGCTCTAGAGTTAAGGCATTTCTCTTGACACTATGGACAAAGCTATAGGTGCTCTAGTTTCTTTCACAGCAAGAAGATGAGGCTGGTTGGCTAAGCAATTTCATGGCCGAACTCATCAATAAGGGAGCAAATTGTCCATGATTTGTCCACCAAGTCATAGGGGAAACAACCCATCTATCATGGATTGAGTCAGGATCATTAAATTCTTCTGAACAACTAGAGAACCTTGAGTACTCTTCTTTTACTTTAGCCAATTCTTCTGGCATGGGAAAGAACTTCTTAAAGCAAACCATCCTCATTTTTTATACATCTTTATCCTTGTGGGGTGGTTCACGGCCAACACCTTCGTCAAGCCACTTTTTGCTATAATATCTGCAATTTGGCATTATGATTTTAGTGAATGGAAAAATCTGAATGACACAAGTGAATGGAAAAAAATCTGAATGGCAGTTTGTAGTTTTGTACCTTAGATTAAGTGAATGAGCCAAACAATGAAGTGGATTATTTCCTTTTGTCCACCTAGCAATCAATGTCATAAATAACCGAGTACAGACTTGACTCCTCATCTTCTTGCTTGCCCTCATATCAATATATGGCTTTCTTCACTCTCTCTATCATTGAATCCCACATGTCATAAACTAAGTGAAGACATGGTGTGTCAGTGTCTGTCATACGAATCATTTCATATATAGGAGTAGTAATCCTAAGAATGTAGTCCACTTTGTCCCACCATACATCACTAAGTATCAAGTCCTTGACAATTTGGGTTGTTGGAGTTGGAGAATCATCTCTAACTTCTCTGTACACACTCCATTTGTCACTAATCACCATTTGTTGGAGGGCTGTTTTTACCTCAACAAACCACTTCAACATACATACAACATAGGCAAATCTAGTTTCACCAATAGAAAGTAACTTCAAACGGCTGAACTCATTGAACATTGAAAGCCGCATGCCATGATTCATTATGAAATTCTTTATCATAGTAGCCTCAGTTTTAACATCAAATTCAAGTTCCCTCCAAGCAAATATTTCTTCATCAGAAGGGTTGTTTCCTATTTTAGGTTCACATATATTTTTCATAGCAAGATTGAGGGTATGCAGAACACATGGTGTCCAAAATATGTTATCATACTCAGATTCTATTATGAGACCAGCACCTTTGCAATTTGCAGCATTGTCTGTAATGATTTGTACTACATTATGTCGACCTACTTCTTCAATTATACCCCTCAACTTCTCAGCAATGTATTCTTTTGATTTGTACCAACCTTCACAATTATCAGCCCTCAAGAACATAGGTGCCTTGTCGAAACAACAAACAAAATTGCTGATTGGTCGCCTCGAGGATCGACCAACCATCGAGCAGATTGTGACTCCCTTCTTTGCCCATGTGTTCTTTGTGCTCTCCAACAAAGTCTCTATGTGCCTCCTTTCTTGCTTTAGAAGTCCCTCCCTAACTTTGTTGTAACCAGGAATCACATAACCTTGCATATTGCGCAATACGCAAGCAAAGGTAAAAGGCTTCTCGAAGATATGGATTTCTCGGAAAATTGAAAGATACCCATCCGAATAAATTGATCTACTAATTAAAGCATCCAAGTGCTTACGGTCTTCCAATGCCCAAGCTTTTTCCAATGCGAAATAGACCCCTCTTGTTCCTCTTGTTGTTGTCAGTGATGTTTGCTTGAGGAAGGAGCAATAGGCAAAGAAACAGTTCTTGACTTGGATCTTTCCACCAGATTCTTGCACCTTTCAATTTCCTTCCTCATTTCACTAAGCATTTCATATGTAACATTAGGACATTTACCTATTCCCTTCCCCCTACGCAAAGAAATGAGCTTCAACTCTAGTGTAACTACTTAGTTTTTGCATTGGACAGTACTTGCAGCGCCACATAGCATTTCCTCCACCAATTTTAGGCTTCTCCAGAATGGTTACATGATCCCAAAGTGAAGACTTGATATCTGTTGTGTTTGTGGCTGCAGATCCTACGGTACCACTAGCACTTGCACTAGCACTGCTCATATTTGGAGACGCCATCTACTGCATACAAGCAACAAGAACTCACTAACTGCACTGCAGAAATAGAAGACAAAGGGAGGAAGGGGAAGACGAAGTGGGGATGCGGCGTGGGGAGCAAAGAAATCAAGCAACAACCGGCTACGAACTGAAGAAGAGGAGATCGAGGATTAACTCACGGGATCCACGTCGTAGGGCGGAAACTCGTCGCTGGCGGCCGGCGAGTAGGGACAGAGGCTCGTCGCCGGTGAGCGGAGGCGGAGGCTCGTCGCTGGCGGCCGGCAAGTAGGGACGGAGGCTCGTCGCCGGCGAGCGGAGGCAGAGGCGGAGGCTCGTCGCCAGTGGCCGGTGACCGGCGAGCGGGGTTGCGGCTTCACTGCGCGGGGAGGCGGCGCTCGTCGCGGGCGCAGACGTGCGGGACTGCGGACATCGAACGCTAGGGCGTCGGGGCAGAGGGATAAGGTTCTATCTGCCTGGGCTTCTTACTGAGCTGGGCCGTATCGGCAAGCCAGATATGTGTTGGATGGCGTATCCAATTTGCACGAAAATAATAAAAAAGCGAATACTCCGAGGATACATATCCTGGGCGTATCGGACACGTAGTGCAATCAAAGGTCACATAAATAGGTTACTACAAACTAACAATCTGGTAGTAAGTTATCAAAAAAAAACAATCTGGTAGTTTCTCCACAAATCCAATCACAATATGTTGATTGATTCAGAATTAAATCTAGGTCAAATATGTGTAGAGCATTGTCAGGTTCAAACATGTGCAGCAGGTTCAATCGTTAATGATCCAATACACTTAGTTGGATACAATAAGTTATTTTTCTCCCAAACAGCACATATTTATGGGTTTTGCTGGACTGATGCAGTTTGAATAAAAGATCTAAGCATTCCTTGTCCTTGTCCTTGATTCAGTTCAGACTAATAAAATTGTTAGAACTTAGAACTCTAGAATGCTCACCGTAGTGGAACAGTTTACTTCACTAATCAGCCCAATTACCATTACATATCAAATATCATTCAATATTCCATCACATCGTAATAGATTCAGCAAGTGAACAAGCAAATAGAATGAAAGGGGGGAGTTGGACGGGGCTTACAATGATATAATCAGCAAGTGAACAACCCTGCATCTTCTCACGAGGCAGCATGGTTCCTGAAAAACAATGATAGAAATATAACTAAGTTACAAATTGCAACTTTCAACTTATAGTGAGAATAAGATTGTACAAGTTTCACAGATATAATTCACATACTCGGTACATAAAAAAAAAAAGAGATCTTGGTAAAGGAGCTCAGCTGTCCTTGCTCCCTCTCACAAGATTAAAAGGCCAGCGGAGGACATACTACACATAGAACATGCTCTGTACTAGAATCACAAGCTATTATTTTGTTCTCTTTGTCATCCTTAACCGTACATGAGCACAAAATGCAGAATTCACACAAAATTAATGTGTAAATGTTCCTGAACTTTCTCAGGCACAATGAAAATGTAGACCTATATTCAGATGCACATGACAAGCAAAGATTGCTTCCAGACTATGGTTGTGCAAACGGTAGCTACTCCATTTTGCTCGCTGCTATACCTTACTTGATAAATTAAACAAACACCTACGGGGAGAGGAAAGAGATGTGCCTGTGTACCTTACTTGATATCCATGATTTTCACTACAGCCTCCAATAGTGCTTGAAGTACTTACAGGAAGTACCTACATGTAATCTGCAATTGTACCTTACTTTGTTGGATGCCTCTCTGTACAACGCTGGTTCAAAACTAAACTAAATTATTAATGCAAAATTAAAGCACTATCAGTTAGTATTGTCACCTTTGACAGGATAGACAGCAGACGCTGCTAGCAGACTGAACAGCACGCGATGGAGGTAGGGGACACCGTGAACGAGGCATCCTCCACTGAGTCCTCAGCACTGCTGCCGCTGCCCCTCGCTCCCGCTGCCGCTGCAGCCATCCCCGTTAGATCCTGAGCACTGCTTCCGCTTATTCTTCGCAGCATCACCTTCCTCCTCCAGTCCTCCTGCTGCCGCTGCTCCAGCCGCGGCAACCAATTCGATTGCTGTCAGAAACCCGATTCCCAGCCATGAAAAAGATTTGATTCGAAGGGAGAGAAGAGACAGAGAGTGCTCACCTGGCTCCTCTGGATCCAAAGGCCCATCCTCTTCCTCGTCGCCTCCGCTGCGGGGAGCTAGTGGCGCGGGTCGCAGTGGCCGTCGCCGTGGCATGACTAAGCCCGGCCGGATCCGCGGGGCTGACGGCTGGATCCGCGGCACCGACGACCAGATCCGCTCCGCCACGGCCTTGTCCTGGCCGCCCTCGGTCGTGCTTCGCAAGGGCCGCCGCCTCCGTCTGCCTGGGGCTACGCGTTGCCGCCTCCGTCCGCCATGCGTTGGAGGCACGCAGGAGCTCGCACGAACAGAGTTCTGGTGGTGGGGAAGAAGGTGGAGGAGGATGTCGATGGTGGTGCGGTGAGGGCCGAGGCCGCAGTCAGGAGCGAGGCACAGGGAGAGTGACGATGGAGATGAATGAAAGGGCTTCTCCAGTCTGGAGACTATATATATGTTAGGGTTTGTCGAGGGGTGTATTTTCGGCTGTCCGATCCTTAATCTTGCGGCTCAGTGACCGAGCTGACATGGGCTGCAGCGATTAATGGGCTACCTTTAGTTAAGGAGACCCAACTAATTTGTAATCTTTATTATATTTATTATATGATAACTTACTAATTAAATGACTTTAAATGAAAAAGTCATCTACAACTTTGGTTTACGTTCTTTCTCAGATGAGTTCGTTTGAACAATTTAAAATTTGAATTTTAAAATAAGAAAATTTCGAACAAAAAATTAGGGATATTAAATGGTTTCAAATGAAAAAGTAGTCAACAACAAAGTTGTAGAACTTATTGAGTCCTACAACTTTTGTTTTAGCCATTTCTCCACCTGACTCAATTTAAACAAAGTGAGACTATATGTCCTTCACAAATAGGAACATCTCTCACTTAGTCACATAACTATGTGTGAGATGTGTCTATTTGTGAACAATGTGCAGTACCGTTTTGTTAAAATCATTTGAAAATTTTATGCAATGATGATACACCAAAATCACATTTTCATACAAGTTTGTAGATTTTTCAAAGAAATTTTAGATATTATTACATTTATTTTATGGTAATTCAATAAATAATTACAATAATTACTAATTTTGGTCAGAAAATTCTTCAAATTGACACAATAACATATTTTGTGTCCATCAGCATTCCATAAAAGTTTCAAGAAATTTTAATAAAGTTGGACTATACATCCTTCACTAATAAAGCTATCTCTCACTTTGTCACATAACAAAGTGTGAGATGTATCTATTTCGGCATAGTAAACAATTTTGGGGTAGTAAATGATTTGAAACGAAAAAGTCGTCAACAACAAAGTTGTAGATATCATCGAGATTTACAACTTTTGTTTTCGCCATTTCTCCATCGGAGTTTGTTTGAACAATTTGAAATTTAAATTTCAAGATTTGACAACTTCGAACAGAATTTTGGGGTAGTACACGATTTCAAATGTAAAAGTGATCAACAACAAAGTTGTAGAACTCATTGAGATCTACAAGTTTTATTTTGGTCATTTCTCCATCCGACTTTGCTCGAACAATTAAAAATTCGAATTTCATGATACTAGAACTTTGAACCGAATTTTGGGATAGCAAAATGATTTCAAAAGAAAAAGTCGTCAATAACAAAGTAGTAGAACTCATCGAAATCTCTAACTTTTATTTTGGTCATTTTTCAAAAAATGTTTGGTTGAACCTTCATAATTTGCATTCTTTATTCACTTTATAATAGAAAAAAAATCAGTGGGTCAACGATGAGAATGGGCCTAGGATTAGAATGGGTCCAGAATCTGGCCCAATAATTTAAAATTTTGAATTCCAAAATATGATAATTTCGAACATAATTTTAGGATATCAAATGAATTCATATAAAAAATCGTCAACTACAAAATTGTAGAACTCACCGAGATCTGCAACTTTGGTTTTGGTCCTTGCTCCGTATGAGTTAGTTTGAACAATTTCAAAATTTGAATTTCAAAATTTGACAACTTCAAATAAAATTTTGAGGTACTAACTGATTTCGAATGTAAAAGTCATCAACAGCAAAGTTGTAAAACTCATCGAGATCTACAATTTCTGTTTTGATCGTTTCTCCATCTGACATTGCTTAGATAATTTTAAATTTGAATTTCAAAATATGAGAACTTTGAATAGAATTTTAGGATATTCAGTGATTTTAAATGAAAAAGTGGTAAACAAAAAAGTTGTAGGACTCATCGAGATCTACAACTTTTGTTTTGGTCATTTCTCCATCCGAGTTCATTTCGTTAATTCAAAATTTGAATTTTCGAATATGAGAACTTTAAAAAGAATTTTGGGATAGTGAATGATTTCAAATGAAAATGTCATCAACAACAGAGTTGTAGAACTCATTTAGATCTACAACTTTTGTTTTAGTCATTTTTCCATTAGACTTTGTTTTAACAATTCGAAGTCAACAATATTACGAATAAAACAAAACTATTCTATAGATTCTAACACATAAGAATGGAGTATTGTAGTGGTCATGTGTGTGGCATTGGAACAAACAGGTCACATGTTTGATTCTCCAATGTTGCACAATTTTTTTGATGACCAAGAAAACCAACAGATGGCTCCATGGCCACGTTAGCATACCACGGTGGCATTAAATGTGGCAAAGAGGCATTATGACCAATTTTAGATGTCAATAGTGACGGTCCATGAATTTCATCACAGAATCTGGGCCCAAGGTTGGGCTTTAAGAGAACCCATGTCTGATTCTGGTTATCTATGACTGAAAAAAAATCTATCATAAAAAACTGCCATGGATCAACACAATTCTTGTAGTGTTTGTGAGTTCTCTTTTAGTGATGAAAGACATCCCCATCGACAGCTGAGCACTTGTGAACCAAATATATATGTTTTGGAGGATGATTTAGAAATTAGAATCCACATCTATATGTATCACATGTTCTGAAGTCTAAAGTGGATTTATAAGGTTGAAAAGGTCCAATCCAACCATCACACCTACTTCTCTTCACATCCATTTTATGGTTACCCAAAATTTATTCCTAGCTAGGAACATGCTTGAACCTTTGGATGATGTAGTAGCATGGCATAGCTAGATCTCAATAAAGAGCACCTTGGGGAAAAGAGTTTGCCCATAGCAAGTTTCAAAGATCAAGAGAGACACGTATGGATGGAATCAGGTTTGTCCATGAATCAACAAATAAATAGACTTAGTGTAAAGAGGACTAAAGGCAATTTGGTCTTTCTACCTATAGAGGTTGGATGTGATAGGTGAAAGCCCTAGTTTTATTTTGGAAATTGAGTGACGACTAGTGGACTAATTTATGTGCTTAAGTGTTGATAAGCTAGGTATAGTCCACACAGAGGGATGAGCTAAGGTGACAATCATGGAGGAGATGGTGGTGTCCAAGATGGTTGTGATGACCACAAGATCAAGAGCTCAAACTTGGATTGAGGAAAGATATGAAAATAGGCCCGAAGACAAAGATATATGATAGGTTTTTCATTTGTCGGCCGAGATGCAATAGAGTGCATAGTCGGGTTTAGGATAAATACCTGTATTATTAAGAGGGGATCTCTAAAGCCAAAGATGGTTAATCTAGTGCCACTAGTTGTGATCTAACTTTGCATATGGATTAGCCTAGTTTCGTGGTGAGGAAGCAACTGAAAAATATTTTGAAAATCATTTGTAAATGCTAACTAGGTGTTTAAAGGTGAAAGGGTTCAATGGAACTCATTTGGAGTTAGCAGCTTGCAAAGTCGATTTGAGAGGAGTTAGTGCACTGAAAATGCACTAGCCAGATTTATCTAGTGCCCCAGTTTGGAAGCACCAGAGCTTAGGCTCTATCCTGACCCTGTTTGGAAGCACCAGAGCTTAGCCAGACTGAGCGAAAAGCTTGATCAAAAGAAAAAAACTAGACGAGCTAAAGTGCACCGAGTGGTGGTACCAATGGCTAGGCCAGGCCTTGCTTATAATGATAGAGCGGTCAGTGGTCCTGGCGCAGTCCACCAAGGTTCCTGTGCGGGATTACTATGAATGAATCGACCAAATTTTTCCGCGCATCCGAGGCGAGCGATGTCCGAGGCCATTAATGACTAGTACGACTACAGGGCAAGGGTCCGATAAGAGCGCGGGAAAGAGTACGGTGAGACGTGGGTCACGGCAGGCGTGAACCATAGGCAAACGCGGAGCACGAAGTCACAGTGCAGTAATAACTCCGGAACAAGGACGGGTCAGTCATGCACAATACGACACACGTGACACCTATGGATGACGTATCTACAAGCAATACATGCACTACAATGTACAAACAGGATATGCATGAATGCATGTCCTATACGTCCTTCTACTGTTGCCAACCTATAGGACAACCGTTCTTAGATTTTTGGTACATCGTTCTCTCCCTGTAGCTAGTCGATACTATCGGACTATGCTCGGGGTCAGTGTACCTGCAAAAAACTTGATTAAGCCTACCTAAGTCAGCAGGGTGCCTTCTATCCTGGATACATAATCATAGTAATAGGGCTACTATATAACTTCGCATATAAACGTCCTATTCTTTTGAAAATAATTTGTTGTCAAATTTTATTTTAGAAAAGGTTTTTGAAGCTTTATTCCCTCATTTATGCTCTGATACCACCTGTGGCAGAACCGCCTAATCTAAGGCCTCCCAGGAGCACTTGTCTTTCATTAGACACTAAGTACTCAAGGGAGGACGCTAAATTACGCAATTCCGTCAAGCACACCCCAAGGGAGAGCCCGAAAATCCACATTTTTCCATCAGGATCACAAATGAGATAATGAAGCTTACAACATTTTAGCCATTTCTTACATCACTTTTCATGCAACATCAGAGTATAATATTTATTGTTTATAATAGCGGAAGATGATCATGTTATCAGGGTTTTGAACAATTTAATTTAACAGCGGAATATAAACATGTGATCAGAGTTACAGCGGAAATAAAGGTCTATTCATGACATGATGAAGCATTGATATATAAACTATGACAACAGATTATAAACTTCTATTTATAAACTATGACAACAGATTATAAACTTCTA